AACGCTGGGCATCCTGGTTTTTCCCCTGACCTTTGAGTGGGGCAGAGAAGGAAATGTTCTCGCCCGTCTTCCTGGCCATCGATTTTATGAGCCCCTCAGTGTTTAACAGCCCGCCAGGGACCTCCTCCGTGCTTGACCGAAAGTATCAAAGAAGGACGAGAAACACGCCTCATCGTTACTGATCCGCCATCGCTAGAAACAGAAATCTCCCTCTCCCCACCCCACCCCCCGGAGCCGGAACTGTTCCGAGCTGTCCGCCCCCTGCATCTGGAGGAAATCTGGCCGTGGACTAGATTCCCGGTCAAAGAGATAACTCCGCAGCTTCTGCTGAACAGCCGTAAGAAGGACAAGAGTCCCTTGAGGGGGTGGACCAAAGTCACAGCCACTGTTTGAAAAGCAGAATCTTGTTCCTCCTTCCTAATCACTGGAAAAAGTTATGACCTGGGCTTTCTTTGTAGAAAAAGCCCAGCAGGAACTCATTAGCATAATAGGCCACACCCAACAGCAGAAACTCATTAGCATATTAGGCCACACCCCCACGTTACCAGAAATGTGGTCATCCAGCCACACCCACCTTTTGCTTCTTATTCTATTTACCTTGTTTGTTGTCAAAACCCAGGGCCTTTTTTTGTACCAGGAACCCTTTGCGTGTTAGGCCACACACCCCTAATGTAGCCAATCCTAATGAGTTTCTGCTGTTGGGTGTGGCCTATTATGCTAATGAGTTCCTGCTGGGCGTGGCCAACTCGGGAGCCAGCCGGAACTCCGTTCCTGTGCGTTCCTGCCCCAAAATAGCCCTGGTTATGACTGAAGTCTTCAGTAATAACACCGGAACGATGCAAGCGGATTGCTACAGACGCAGGGACACACGTGGAAGGCACTGTCAAGTCGTGGCCGATTTACAAAGGCACGAGACAAACAGAGGTGGCTTGCCATTCGTGCCTCTAAGAAGCAGCCCTGGACTTTGAGGGTGGTCTCCTGGGATGCCAGCCTCCAGGTAGGGCCTGGGGATCCCTCGGAATTACAGCTCACCTCCAGTCTGCACAGATCACTGGAGAGAATGGATGCTTTGGAGGGTGGGCTCTGTGGCATTGTACCCCACTGAGGTTCTCGAGAGCCAGCTTGGTGTAGTGGTTAAGTGCATGGACTCTAATCTGGGAGAACGCGATTTGATTCCCCACGTCTCCACTTGCAGCTGCTGGTGTGACCTTGGGCCAGTCACAAGTTCTTTCAGAGCTGTTCTCTCAGGAGCAGTCCTCGAAGGAGCTCTCTCAGCCCCACCTGCCTCACATGGTGTCTGCTGTGGGGATGGGAAGGGGAAAGGAGTTTGTAAGCCGCTCTGAGACTCCAACTGAAGGGCGGGGTACAAATCCAATCTCCTCTTCTCTTCTGCTTATTCTTCTTGTCCACTCCAGGCTCCATCCCCAAATCTCTAGGAGTTTCCCAACCTGGATCTGGCAACTCTAGACTGGTCTCCCATCCAATTCGTAACCAGGGCTGCCCCTGGTTAGTTCTGAGATCTGATGAGATCTGAAGGGCAGGGTATAAATCCAATCTCCTCCTCCTCCTGCCTAGCCTACCTCACAGGGTCGTTGTCATGAGAAAACGGAGGAAAGGAAAACGACGTTCTAAGGCTCTTTCCGTCTCCGTTGGGAGGAATGTGGGATATAAATGCAAAATGCAAATGAATCCTAAGGCCACCTAGAGAGTTCCTGGCTGAAGAAAACAGGTGAGGGTAGACGTGAAGCAATGTTCCCTCTAAGCTGTAGAGTCTTGTGAGCAAAAATTCTACTTTGAGAGCTACTGGCATTAAGGTTGTGAGGAAGCAATTTGGTTACTGCATAAATTAGTTTGCTCTGGAGCCATCCTTCTTGAGCTAGGACAAAAATGTGTGAGCCAGAGGCTAAAAAACTGTGAGCTAGCTCACACTAACTCAGCTTAGAGGGAACACTGACGTGAAGTGCAGCAATAATAAATAAATAAGATGTGCCTCAGAGATGGACGTGGACAATGTGGGCGAGGCCACTGCTGGGTGTATGGCCCATGGCTTCTACGCAAACAGGTTGCACCTCCAGTTAAAGAGATTTCTGAGAGTAGGTGTCGAGGAAGACCTTCCTCTACCAGAGGAATGGCACATTTGCACATGCGCAAGCCCCATATCAGGGCAAACAGTGCCCCCACGGAGCCATTTCAGGTAGGGAAGCGGTGCAGTAGGAAAAGGCTGAATTCCTGTCTCCATTTGCACGGTGGTCCTGAACCAAAACCCCGCATGGTTAGAAAATGAGCTCCCTCACAGCTGATTTGTGATTAGACTAAATATATACCTGATGGGGGTGGGGGATCCCCTGCCCCCAGGACCTGTTGCCTGCCACTACACCAAACCCCAACGACAAAAACAAGAGGGGGGGGGGGGGGGGGGGAGAGAAGGAGATATTGCATGTGCTTGTCATTTCCAGTAAAAACCTGGTAGTAACATAGTGTAGCTCTAGGAATCACCAGAAACTCTGTGGTAAAACCACTGAGTTTCTGGTGATTCCTAGAGCTACCCCATGTCACTTCGGGGTTTTCCCTGGGAGTGACATAGCAGCACATGCATTTCGGCCTGGCAACCCTCAGTCAAAATCAGTTAGGGGGAACCCTAGATGCAATGCTTTAAAAATTGTAATATGTAGTTTTACCCTTGGTCTCATAGCAGTTCTGCTACGTCAACCGGAGAAGAAATTCACTGGAATTATGGGAGGAGGAGTACCTGCCTACCTGAGGGACCGCCTTTCCCCGTATGTTCCCCCAAGAGCGCTACGGTCTGGGGCCCAGAATCTTCTAACTATGCCGGGCCCCAAGGACGCTAAACTGGCCGTCACAAGGGCTAGGGCCTTCTCAGTGGCGGCCCCCACCTGGTGGAACGAGCTCCCGGAGGAGATCCGGGCCCTGCGGGACCTGGTGCAGTTCCGCAGGGCCTGCAAGACGGAGCTCTTCCACCAGGCTTTCGATTAGGGGCCGCCACTGCCCCCCCCCCCCGGATATATGCCATCTTGGGGGGGGGACTAGGGCTCAGGAGGCCAGGTAGAAACATCTGGTAACATCTAAAATATTATCAATGCCTACTGGGAATGCTTGGGCTGTGCTAGGGCGGTGGTTGCCCTCTCTGAGACTCTGAGATTTTGAGATTCCGATATGAATTTAGTTTTTGAGCACTTTAATGTTTTACATGGGTTTTAAATTGTACATGATGTTTTAATTGTACTATGGTATTGATGTTTTATTCGCAAGTTTTTTCTTGCCTTGTAAGCCGCCCTGAGCCCCACGGGGAAGGGCGGGGTATAAATTTAATAATAAATAAATAAATAAAATAAAATAAATTCAAAGCCACAGAGGTTAGGGAGGAGCACAAAAAGACACCCAGATAAAGGAGAGCTAAGCCTTTCTAGTTCAGGAAAACCAAAATAACTAAGGAAGACATGATAAAATATATATATATTAATGAAGAGAGAAGGATATATCTCCCCATTTCTCATAATACCAGAATCCAATGACATGATTTGGTTCAGGGCAGAAGAGAGGCAGCGCATCTTCACATACAGAACTCTCCAACACAAGATTTAGCTGACAGTGTGATAAAAGGAAGAAGAAGAAGAAATTGGATTTATACCCCTCCCTTCACTATCTGAAGTCTCAGAGCGGTTTAACAATCTCCTTACCTTCCCCTCCCCACAACAGACACCCTGTGAAGGAGGCGGGGCTGAGAGGGCTCTTTCGAGGACTGCTCTTGAGAGAACAGCCCTGAGTGAACTTGTGACTGACCCAAGGGCACACCAGCAGCTGCATGTGGAGGAGCTGGGAATCAAACCTGGTTCTCCCAGTTTATAGCCCATGCTCCTAACCACACCAAACTGGCTCTCCAGTGAACGCCTGCGGGAGAGGTCAATCGACAGGTGTTCGCCGTGACAACTCAAATGGGAACCCAGGTGCAGTCTATCCTGAAACACTAGTTGCTGGTAGAGTTTCCAACTCCAGGTTAGGAAATTAAACATAAGAACATAAGATGTTGGATCACACCAAAGGCCCATCTAGTCCAACACTCTGTCACACAGTGGCCAAAAATACCAGGTGCCATCAGGAGGTCCACCAGTGGGGCCAGGACATTAGAAGCCCTCCCACTGTTGACCCCCCCCCCCCAAGCACCAAGAAGACAGAGCATCACTTGCCCCAGAGTCCCTATCTATACCTTGTGGCTAATAGCCACTGATGGACCTCTGCTCCATATGCTTATCTAATTCCCTTTTGAAGCCGTCCATGCTTGTAGCCGCCACCACTTCCTGTGGCAGTGAATTCCATGTGTTAATCACTCTTTGGGTGAAGAAGTACTTCCTTTTATCCGTTCTAACCCAACCGCTCAGCAATTTCATGGAGTGCCCACGAGTTCTTGTATTGTAGAAAGGGAGAAAAGTACCTCTTTCTCTACCTGCTCTTTCCCATGCATAATCTTATAAACCTCACTCATGTCACCCCTCAGTCGTCGTTTCTCCAAGCTAAAGAGCCCCAAGCGCCTTAACCTTTCCTCATAGGGAAAGTGTTCCAACCCCTTTATCATTCGAGTTGCCCTTTTCTGCACTTTTTCCAAAGCTATAATTCCTGGAGATTTGGGGATAATTCCTGGAAATTCCTGGAGATTTGGGGATGGAGCCTACGGGGGGGAGGGTTTGGGGAGGAGAGGGACCTCAGCAGGGGGGCTTAATGCCACAGAGTCCGCCCTCCGAAGCAGCCATTTTCTCCAGGGGAACTGGCCTCTGTGGACTGGAGATCGGGTGTCATTGCGGGAGGTTTCTGAGGCAATTTTTTCAGGCATTTGGCTGGCCTCTCCCAGAGATGACCCCCGAACTAGACAGACCTTGGCCTGTTCAGGTAAAGTAGCTCTCAATATCTGGTAACAGCAGAGTGTGCCGCTTGAAGAACGATGTACTCAAAAGTCCTCTTAAAGGGCTGCAGAAGGGGGTGCTTACCATGTGGTAGTTGACCATCTCCTGCAGGCTGTCTCCAAATTTCTCCAGCCATTCCTGTGGAAGGAAAAGAAGAAAGACACGGTCAGCGAGTGGTAGAGAGGCAAAGCCTACGCTTTCAAGCTGTGATCCGGGGCGGGGCGGGGGGGATGGGACATGGACTCTGGGCATCCATGCAAGGTCATCAGCATTCCAATCGACAACGGCAGACCGACTTCCTGAGAAAAGAGTTCCCTCCCTGGTACCCATCTTGCCTGTCGAGGAAAGAAGCGGCAAAAGATGGGAAGCCGACCAACCCCTGGAGTAAAAGGGCAGCACCGAAGCTCATGGGGCCGGCTGGTCTCCTCCACCTGAAGCCAGCTGGGCGACCTTGGGCCAGTCACAGTTCTCTCAGAGCTGTTGTCTCAAGAGCAGTTTTCTCAGATTGTCTCAAGAGCAGTTCTCTCAGAGCTCTCTCGGCCCCACCTCTACCTCACAGGGTGTCTGTTGTGGGGAGAGAAAGTGATTGTAAGCCGTTCTGAGACTCCTTTGGGTAGTGAAGAGCAGGGTATAAAAACCAACTCTTCTTCTTTCAGTCTAGCCTACCTCACAGGGCTGTTGTGAGGACAACCCCAGACACACAGCTCTGGGCTTGTCAGCAGAAGGGCACATAATAATCCAGTAATTAAGGTAAAGGTTTCCCTTGCTCGAAAGCCAGTCGAATCCGACTCTAGGGGTGTGGTGCTCATCTCTGTTTCCAAGCTGAAGAGCCAGCGCTGTCCGAAGATGTTTCCGTGGTCATGTGGCCAGCATGACTAGACGCCGAGGCGCACGGAACGCTGTTACCATCCCACCAAAGCGGTACCTATTTACCGACTTGCAATTCCTTGCTTTCGAACTGCTAGCTTGGCAGGAGCTGGGGCCAGAGACGGGAGCTTGCTCCTTCATGCGGCACTCGGGTCTCGAACTGCTGAACTTCCGACCTTCCAGTCTGCAGTTCAGCGTCTTAACCACTGAGCCACCGCAGCCCTAATCCAGTAATTGAAAGGGGCTAATTCTAAGTAAGGGCGAGAGCATTTCAAAACTACCTGGGACAGCCAGGAGAATGAACTGATCCGAGAAGACATTGCTTTAAACCCCGCCACCGATT